AGTCATCCTTCGCTCCTTTACTTGAGACAGACAGGCATGTGGCTCTACAATGTAGTCTAAATGCTGCACTGTGCACCAAGGGTCTGAAGCACTGCCGTCACTGCTCTCACTGAGCTTATAACCTGGGTAAAGACTAAGTACTTAGAAGTAGAGTCATCATTACATGGAAAGTACAAAGTGCTGTAAGACAACTTAGTAAAACCTAAATCCGTAATTCTCAACAAGATAGCTACTCCTCCCATAAAAGAAACTGATAAAGGTAAAGACAGAGTCGGATACCACCAAGGGAGAAGGTTGCACAGCATCTAGTATGTAAAAGCAGAGATGCTGCCGAAGGGCCTACTCAGAGAGCTCCGCACAGCCCCCCAATATGAGCAGCTCCGAGTTGGGATGCACAGTCTACACCACGGGCATGGAAGGGTTATGCTAGTGAAGACTTCCTTAATTTAAAGCTCCAAGTATGTTCCATGTTCAAATAATTTTCAACAACACAGAAAGAATACTACAGTCCGATATTATTATTAATCAAATTTCCCCTACAAAATAAGACAATGGAGAAAAGGGTAACACAGTCCTTTAGATGTTAAAAGATGAAAATCAAAGAGAAATTTTCTGCAAATGCTTCCCATAAATGTTTTTCCTGAGCCATAAAGCAAAAGTTTACAAACCTTTTTTTGTGTTATTCTACCTGTTTCATGTCTCAATCAACCCATAGCTACTACTAGATACTGATGGGAAGGTTATAAAAAGTTCTGAAGTTATTTATGCACACCATCCCCTCAGAATACAAAACTGGAAGTGAAATGTATACTAAGAAAATGTACTAGGCATTAGAGTAAGTCTGGCAAGTGTGTATCCTACAGTGGTTCAGAGTAAGCTATCCAACTAACCAAAGAATGCCAAGAACAGAGGACAGTTGCAGATAGTTTAACAAGGATAACCAGGGACAGATATGCTGCATGCACCTGTGACCTCACTTCAAACACTGGAGAGGTTGAGGCAAGAAGACTGTTCCAAATTCTAGACTAGCCTCCTCTACATACAGTTCCAACTAAGGTAGCCAATAGTCTACCTCAAAAGTCGACAATTGGTAGACTACCAATACTCTATCTCAAAAAGACTGGTCAACTTTTAGAACGATCTTGTCAGAATTTAGAAACTGAGGTAAGTCTAAGAATTAAACTTCAATGACTCTTCTAGCATCTTAAACCCACGGACCCCATCCTACCTCCTACTCAGCCCACTCAGAGCAAGAAAAAGGAAGCATATCATGGGCCAAGCAAGCGTCTATACTACGATAAGCAGCTATAAAAACAGGCTACAGAAATTCATCTCCAACAAAGATTTTATTATGTTAAAGAGTTACTACTAATTTTTTGGTAAGAGAAAAATATACTAGGGCTTTTTTAAATTTGTAAATTAAATGACTCTAATACTTAACTAAAAATTCCCCTCCTTTAGTTTTGTCCAAATATAAACACTGCTAATCCTCCTCTAACTCTGTCCAGACATAACCACTACTAACCCACTCTTACACTTTTCATGTATTACCTTAAACAGAGTTTTAAATTTTCTTCTCCAATTGCACTGAAATTTTCTAAAGAAGGTATTTATCATATAAAGCCATTCCATTCCCTTTTCAAAAACAAAGCATGAGAGAGGAGGCCCCTATTAGAACAGCCTCCATTCAGTTAGTAGCCTTCAACACAGTACAGACAGCCACTCACATGAAGATGCTCCCAAGAACACTCAGGGCAGGCCCAATGCAGTTGTACTGTTAAGCTGTAGGTTAGGACTAGGTTAGGACTCCAAGCCCTGTAAGAGGTGACTGTTTGAAACAGTAGCAAGTAGCGTAGCTCATAATGACTAATATCACACCATCCCATCTGATTCAGCTGCTCCCCTCACACTTTGACTCTCATGAGGACACACTTTCTCTCATTGTATCAGAACTGGCAATAATGGCCATGGGGTTAACTCTCTCCTCATTCAACTAAGGATAATGAGGAAGAATTTACTCCAAAATTCTTGAGCAAAGGATCTTTAATATAGTGAAGGACAGAGAAATCCTTTGAGAAATTAGGACAAAGATGATAAGAGATGACAACTCAGACTGAAATTCATTCACACTTTGCAGATTAATTTTAAATAAATAAAGTGTATTCTTAGCTTCACAATCTCTAGCATGCTATTTACAAGCTAATGTTCTCTGCTGAACAGAAAGTAAGACTGAAAATTATATAATTATATAGAATATAATTATGAAGCCTGAGAATTAACAAGCTTTTGCTAACATTTCTTATTTTAAACATCTATTTGTTTTGCTTTTGTTTCAGATAAGATTGTACAATATGGCTTAGTCTGGTGTAGAACAAAAGTATGTGGCCCAGACCAGCCTCAAATTCAGAGCAATCCTCCTGTCTCAACCTCTTAGATGCTGGAATTACAAAGTGTGTATCAGGACACCCAACTTTCTTATTTTAAGCATTTGAAGGTTTAAAAATGTCTTGCTACCAAAAAGTAATGATACTTTTTTGAGCTAGCCAAGAATGTAGTGCCACACACCTGTAATCCCAGCACTCAGGAAGCTGAGACATCAGTAAGACCCTGTCTCAACAATACTAATAACAGTTATTATTACCATGAGCTAAAGTTGATGCCTTAAAAGCCAAATTCACTGTGAGCACTTGAAAATATGATTTCTTCCCAAGCCTGTAATTCAGACTCCTTTTTTTGTACCTTGCAAAACATGACTTAATAGAGCAGTCATGAATGTGCCACTCCGGTGCTCAACTGCAATAACAAAACATGCACCACAGCAGCCAGATACACAGAATGGTATCATCAACTTTTTCTTTTCTAAATTAACAAGGCTATGCATTTCGGGCTTAAACAAAAGTACACAGGGCAAGCCTGGTGCAAGCCTATAGAATCCTGCTACCAGATAAGCTGAGGCAGGCGCATCACATAATAAAGACAGCTCCTGTCGAACTCCAGAGTGAGCTCCAGTACTGCCAGCCCAGGCAATCTAAGTGAGGACTTCTCCCAAAATAAGGAGGACTAGGACATCCATCTCCACGGTGGACCCTAGCCTACTGCCAACTTCCAGTCTGAGGGTACTTGTTCTCAACCTTGAGTGCATCTACTTTTAAGCTAACCCCACTTCAAACTGATAACATCATATCAAGATAAAAAGGTAAAGATTTAAGTAGTCTGAAGAGAAAAGGAAGACAGCACACCAGTCAGACCATCAGGCCTAATCCTTCCAATACAGCCCACCTCACAGTCCCTTCTCCACAAGGCTCTAGTGTGGTCTCGGAGCACTAACACTTGTTTTACACCTATCACTGTGGGGAGCTCCTATAAAGCCTCTTCAGGAGAGGTGGGCAGACAGACATTAGGACTCTCCTAAACAAAGAAAATTCAGCATGGTGGAAAAGGCTTAAATTCAGTAATTTGGAAGTAAGAGAGGTTTTTGGCTGTTGTTGTTTTGGTTTGAGAGACAATCTCTACCTCAGTTCTAGTGTCCTGGAAGTCTGTATGTACACCAGGCTGACCCTGAACTCCCAAAGATGCACCTTCCTCTGCCTCTCTGAGAACTGGCGTCATCAAAGGCATTCACCACCATGCCCACATAAGAAGGGACGTTGTGTAACGAAAGAACTTAATTATTAGTGCTGTACGCAGCAAATCAAAAAGCAACATGGCTGTTCTCTTAATACAGTTAACAAAATATTAAAAATAGTTAATTACAGTATCACTAAACTCCTTTTATTCCATATTATGAATATATATCATTGGGAGGGAGAATTAAGTCTCATAAGAGGATAACTGTCCATATTATCAGTTATGAATTCTCAAGATTTCCAAATGTATTGCTCTCAGATGTCCACCACTACTTAAAGATGCATATTCAAGAACTTTAACTTTCAACAACCCCTTTTGCACCCTTTCCCAATGCTACCTACCATAAACAACAACAAATGATGAAATTGCAGAAAGGCATTTAAGAGCACTGTCCCCTTTGGACATCCACAAATGCTATTTTAAAATCTCATGTACTTAAGACAGTAATAGTCACGTTACTGAGCATTAACACTCGCAAATCAAGAGTTCTGAAAACTATGCTAATTAGTTAGCATGCATTTAAAGAAGATAATGCTGAACCGGTATTTGCTACACTTCATGTCCGAATTGCTATTATTCCTTAAAAAGAATTGAATCTATTTTTTCGAAGCCTGTCTTCTCATCAGATCAGTAAATTCAGCAAACAGTAAAAGTCGGACACCTGCATTTAAAAAGAAAAAATCTGCTTAGCCTGACACGTGAATGAGTCCCTGGCAAATGAGTCCCTAGTCTCTTCCCCGCTCTGGGTGCACGATGTCTCCTAGCATTTCTGTCTTTCTCCCTGATGATCAGAAGGGCAAGCAGAAATTTAAAAATAAAAAAAAGAAAGAAAGGAAGAAAGAAAGCAAGCGAGAGAAAGAGAGAAGGGGGGGGATCGCAGAATGCTGCTGCCTCCCTACCAACCATCCAATTAGCGAAGTCCCTGGCTGGCAAGTCACCTAGTCAACAGAACCTCAATAATAAACACTACGTGTAACGTGACCACGGATCGCCACCCCGTGGGTGCTCTCCAGGGCCTCGCATCCGTGTGTCAGCTTCCTCAGTCACCCGGGAGGACCTGCAGAGTGATGTCCTGCAACAGTTCAGACCCTGCAAGGCCACGGGCTGCGCGCGGGGTGGGGAGTGGGTGGGTGGGGGGAGACTGGCCTCTGTGAAACCCACCCGGGAGCGTGGTGCGGCCGCCTCGGGGACCGGCCCTCCCCCTGCCCTCCCTCAGCCCTGCCAGGCCCGGGGAGGGGCGCGGGCCGTTCCCCTCCCCCACGGCCGCCCAGCCGCCGTCGCCCCACCCGGGGGAGCTGCGTGCGGCCCGCGCCCTTGCTCGGCACGCGAGTCCCGGGCCGGGCCTGGCGGGGAGGCCGGGTTGCGGTACGAACCTCGCTGTTGAAGGTCTTCACGGCCTCCATGTTGTCTGCGCAGAGGCCCGGGGCCCGGCGAAGGAAGAGGCGGCGGCTGGGCGCGTTGCGTGCGGAAGGGCGGGCGACGGGCCCAGGAGGCCGCGGAGCACGGCGAGCAGGCGACGCTCCTCAGCGCCGGCGAGGCCCCGGCATGGCCGCGGGGCGGGCGCAGCGAGCAGGACTGAGGCCGCCGGGGCGGGTCGGCGGCGGGGGAGGGGCTGGCGCGGCGCCTTCTCTGCTTCTCCGCCCCGCTCGGAAGCGGCCTCCACACTCAAGCTTCGGCCCCCTCCACTCTCCACCCCCTTCTCCTCCTTCCTCTTCCTCCCACAGGCTCCTGTGTCACCTCCCTGCCGCCTAGGCCGCGGGAACCTGCAGCGCGCAGTGAAGACACAGGAGGAAGCGCTGACCGCGGCGGCTGCGGCATCCAATATGGCGGACGCGGTCGAGCAGCGCACTCGGAGTCGGCGGCGCCGGCCAGCGCGCCCCCTGGCGACCAGGCCGCGCGAGGCCCGCGGCCGCGCCAGACCATCGAGATGGCGCGGGCCAGAGCGGCCGGAGTCTCTGCGGCGGGAGCCGGGGACCCGGGCTCTAGACTGCCCGCGTCCCCGGCCGCGTGAGCGAGCGCTGTGGCGCGGACGGAGGGGCTCCCGGTGGCTGGTCCCGCGGATGAACGCTGCTCTGAGAAAAACCCCCAAAGTGCAGGGGAAGAGACCGAATGGAGGAAACTACGGTGCCTCCGATGCCGCTTCCCGGTGGGATGGCGCCTGCTGTGGAGGCGGGGTTGAAGCGCCTTTGAGAACTTTAGCGGGTATTGACTTAGATTCCTCGTCGCCACCGTGTGCCCTGGCGTCCTGGTGGCGGGGAGCAAGCGCTGCACACAAAAGCTGACTTGGGACGCGTGCAGCCGCCGTGCGGGAAATGCGAGTTGTGCGAGCCGGGCCTGGGCATCCCAGAGGCGGGAAGGAACCCGGAACGCCCCCGTTTGGACGCGGAAATGCAGCCGGGTTTTGTTGTTACTGTGGTTTGTTTTGTTTTGTTTGTTTAGGAAGCGGGTCCTTCCCAAGGAATTTGGCCCCAGGTTATCGGAGCGGAGGATGATTGCGGATTTTAGGATCGAGACGTGCTGCTGGTGGAACCGCTTCGTGCTTGCTTGAAGTTAAACCGGAGTGGGGGAACGATTGTTCCCACTGAACGTTCCCACACATACTGCCACCCTTGTTGAAAGTCATTTGCCATCGCTCTTCCCAAATTCATGCAAAAGGAAGGGGGAGGATGGGCTGCTTTAGATTAGTATTTCCTAAGAGCTAAGTCCAGAGGCCTATGAAACAGTCTTTAAGTCGGCTTCATTCACAGCTTTGCTCCTGGTGCTGGCTGTTTCGAAGGTAAAAATTGTGATGGGAAGCTTCCATTTTTTTTTTCACCTGCTATCTCAAAAGCAGATCATCTCCACCTCTTCCAGTGCTCACAGGTAACCCTGACGATCCTGCTGTCTCCGTGTAGCTTGCATTTTCTCGACAGTAGCCGAAATGATCTATTTTAGGCACGCTCCTTGCTTAAACCCCTGCAATACTTTTCCATTGCTCTTTAAATACACCCTTACGTCTTGCAGCGGTATGAAAGGCCCTGATACATCTGCATATGCCTCTCTTCCACACTGTCCCTTGACAAGAGAGAGCATGTGCCCACCGTAGAGGCTTGTATGTTCCTCTTCCTCTTCCCTTAGCAAGCTGCTGTTGCTCATGGTCGCTTGCTTTTTCATAGCTGACCTTTCAAGAAGTCTCTGATTATGCGATGCTGGTGCTGGAGGTTCACATTCATTCCTGCTCCAGCCAGGTTGTCACAAGAATTCCCACTATGGCCATATTTACTCAGTAACACAGAACAAGTGTGACCCGAGCTACACCAGTCAAGTTATTAAAATGCAGTATAAACCACTGAGCCCAAACCAGTTGCCGTACTGTGCAATCTGATTTAGAAAGATTCCACATCCAGGAAAATACCAGAGGACTTGAAGGGGAAGGGAGACAGGGGTTAGCCTCCATTCCATAGATGAGACAAAGCAAGGGGAAGGAAAAATTTAGAAGAATCTAGAATCTTGGCGTCTAGACCATTTACAAGGTTTGTATGCAGCCAAACACACCTCCAAAATGTAAATGGCTCAGGACTCACACCACATTATATATGTTGAGCTATACATCTGGGCTTCAAGCACTCTGCCGACCGAGTTATAAACCCTGTCCCCCAAATCTCACATGTTAAAAATTTTGACCGTGCTTGGAAGTAAGTCTTTACAGGGGTAGTTCAATTAGAACAAGGTCCTAATCCAACCTGACAGGTGCCAGAAGACAGGAGGATACAGAGGCCCACAAAGGGAAGACTGGGTGAAGTCAGGGAGGAGAGAGGCATTCTCAAGCTGTAGCAGACATTGAGCCTGCCAGTATCCTGATCGTGAGCTCCATGGCTCTTGAAGAGTGGGCAAGTGCATGCATGCCAGGGCCATTCTAACTATGGCACTTCAGTTACCACAGACTCATCAAACCTGCACAGGTGGGGTACAGCTCTCTGAGACTGAGAGCCCAGCACTTTCCAAAATCTGCAAGCCAAAAACAGTGAGGACAGTTGCCAAACTGTTTTTATTTTTGGAAGACGTTTGGATTTTACTTTTGAGAGTAAACCATTCTTCATTGAGAAGGCGTGCTATTTTCGTTCCCAAACGTAAATTCAGTTTTATTCTGCTCAGGAAAATGAAGCATCCTCCTGCAGCTCTCTGTGATTAATACACATGTGTTGGTGTTGCTGGCAAAGTTCTTAGGCCAACTTAAGAGTCAGATTCAGGTTTCAACAGGAGAGAAGATGAGTTCCACCTTGCCGTAGGGCTTGGGAGGATTACATTGCACTGACTAGGACAGATATGGTTCAAGACACTTGATCCCAAAGTCCAGAGGTAATCACACTTTTGCAGGGTGGTAGTAGCCTTCTGATTAATAAGACGAAAGATGAGGCTTTTCAGGTCTATAAAACAGAGGCTTAGTATAGTGTCATTTTCTGGGTAGTGATGCCACACACCTTGAATCTCAGCATTCTGGAGGCAGAGGCAGGCAGTTCTCCATGAGTTGGAGGCTAGCCTGTTTTACAGAGTGGGTTCCAGAACAGCCAAGTCTACACAAAGAAACCATGCCTTGATAAAACAAAAACAAAACAAAAAAGGTTGCATGTCAACAGGCCCAATGTTGGGGCCACTGCTGAGCTTTACAATTAGATATTCCATTTCCTTTGACTCCTTGATCTGGTGCTTTTGGGTTTTGACCATCTATTCTACCAAATATATAAAGTTGAATAAGACACAATGGTCGTGATATAAAAAGGAACAGAATCAAGTTCTGACAGCGGTGGTAGCACTTGCCTCTTTAAATCCCAGCTCACAGGTGCAGAGGCAGGCGGATCTCTGAGGCCAGCCTGCTGTACAGAGGACTTTCCAGGACAGCCAAGGTTATACAGAGAAACTTTGTCTCAAAAAACAGAAAGGAATATAAAGAAAGGGGGAAGAATGAAAGAGAAAAAAGAAAAGAAGGAGCAGAAAGAAATGGAAAAGAATGGGAGAGAGAAAAAGAAAGTCAAATTCTTACAAGAAAAGAATAGAGAAGATTGGTGGGACCCAGCCTAATAGGTACCTAGATAGAGATCTGGGAGCTCCTTTAAATCTAGTGAAAAGGATTCCTCTGTGGCTTTCAGTGAGGTCAACCCTAGCACTATACTGAAGGCAGAAACCACGCCAGGGGTGGAAATGGCCAGAGGTTACTAAACACCCTTCTCCAAAAGGCCATTGTAAATAAAAGTGCTTAAGAGGACAGAGACTGAATGACATGGTTCCTGAATATGTATGATGCATCAGGGTGTCCTGGGTCACAGCAGCAGGCTCAAAGCCACCACAGGTGGAATCAGCAGAGGAACTGCAGGCTAAGGGACATTACAGGTTCTAATGTCAAATGGTGACATAGCTTCCAGGGGTAGTCATATCTGCACAAAAAGGGAAGAGTGCACTAAATAAGAGAGCATGCACTGTAATCCTGGGATGCTCAAAGCCCCAAGTATAGTCTCTAGCACTGCATAAACTATATATGGCTACATATCCCTGTAATCCAAACAATCAAGACACCCCAAGTTCAAGGCCAGCCCCTGCCACATAGCAAGGTGAGAGCCAATCTGAGCTACGATAAAACCCTGTCTCAATAACAAAATGATAAAAGCCAGCATGGTTGAAATAAGGGTGAAATCAGTGTTTCAAATGGTTTCATAGTTATATATTGATTTAAGGATGCAAAGTACAGCGCAGCCTGGGCATCAAAGTGGCCAAAATCTACAGGGAGCAGGATACACCACAATGCCCAAAGATGGAGAGGGGACAGACAAGAAGGACACCAGTCTCTGTCAACATTGGAAATAAGTAGAGATGGAAAACGCTCCCCTGAGAATTTGTAACCACAAGTCAGACCTCAGAAGCAAATTTGTGGTGTAATCCCTAATATCTGGGCGATGTGAAAAACCTTGTGTGAAGAAATGATTTTAAGTTGGTATTAGATTAGCCAGCTGCCAGACACCTGAGACTGGAACAGAGGCTCCAGGAAGAAAGCAACTGACCCAACCAGTAAAGATGTCTGACAAAAGTCCTTTACGAATAAGATTAAAGAATTGAATGTGGCTGGAAAGAAAGCCCTGTTGTGCTTTGTTTTTTGTTTTGTTTTGTTTTGCTGCTTAAAGGAGCCCAGAGCAGCACAGGTGCTTGCTCTTTGCCTTGAGCAAGTGTTCTCACCATGGTGGTGGGAAACTATGCATGGAAGCTTCCAGAAGCAAGAGGTAGGCGTCCAGGAAGTGGACTTGACAGAATCAGAATAGAAAATTTTAATAAGCTTCCTGCAATCCGAGCAGACGCATTGATAAGCAACAGATGCTGAAAGAAAATGGTCTGGTTGGCTCTGAATGCACCTAGCAAATGCTGAAGGCTGAAGTCACAGTGAGGCTCCTGGGACCCTGAAATGGAGTTTGCATGGGAGGGGGGTGTTGTTTGGTTTTCTCCTC